TTGTAGTATCTTGATTTGTTTTGGGCACTTTCCTCCCTTGTTTTTTCATGATGTCTATGTGGTTTGGTTCCTGGTTCTGTGAGGTGGTTTTGTCATTTGGGTCCATTGGGTTTAGTCTGGAGCTTGGACACATGGGGGCCTTGGGTCCTGGATTAACCTAGTGCTGGCTTCCACATGAGTAGTCCTGGGAACCCATAGCATGGGAGTGTTTTTGGAGCCTGGGTACATCTGGGCAGGTCTGAAGTTCTTGTGGGGACAGGCTTGCAACCTGATTATATGGGGATGGGCCTGAGTTATTAGTCTTTGTGGGCCAGCTTGGAGCCTGGGGTCATAGGACTGGTCTGTTGCTGGGGTGGGCCTGGAAGTTGGGTCCACGAGGGTGCTGGCCTGTTTAATTGGTCTGCATAGATTGGCTATCACTTGGACTGGCCTGGAGTCTGGGCCTATGTGAGTCAGCTAGAACCTGGGGCCATAGGAGTTAGTCTGTCAATGATGTGGGCTTAAAGCCTTGTGCCAATTTGGTGCTGGGATTAACTGGGACAGACCTATTGTTACCATCTGCAGTAAAGTCAGATACTCAATTTGTTCCTTCCCTGAAATGTTGTCTCTGTCCTGTTTCACTGCCTGGGCTTTGCAAAAAGGTGACATRGGTAATATAACACCGTCTTCCTACCCTCTTCAGTGTATCTTTTTTCTTATTTCTAAACTCTACTCAGCTATTATAATCTTTCATCTTGATTGCCTAGCAATTGTGAGGGTATTTTCAGACATGTCTAGTTGTTYRAATTGATGTTTCTGCAAAGGGACAAACACCGACAATTTCTATTCTGCTAATAGTTTTTATTGTCTGTTTTAAGGTTTTATTTTAGCTATCATGACTCTAACTTGTAGGTATCTCACATCATTTTTTTCTAATAAKTTGCTTTATTTTATCAATACCATGTCTCTTAGTCTTACTGAGAATGTGGTAAAAAGTATTTGTTTCTAATCTGTCCTCTACTTTTATCATGATCAGATTTTTTTTAATTGGATATAATGGACATTTATTGACTACATTCAACAGCAGCAGAATATACATTCTTCTCAAACTCACATTCAATATTCATCAAGATCAAACACACTCTCGGGTATAAAACATACTTTTGACAAATTTAAAAGAACAGAAATCACACAATATCTATTCTCACACTWTAAGGGAATTAAGCTAGAAATCAATAACAGAGTGATGGTTGGAGATTAAAAAATGCATTTCTAAATAATGTACAAGCCAAAGAAGAAATTTCAAGGGACATGATCAGATTTAATACCTTACAACTATCAAAAAAAAGTTTCAGTGYGATACATTGCCATTTGATTTTGTGTTATTTTAAACTCTTTTCCTTATTTAATTGAGAATGTTATTCCACAGTAATATTAATTACCTACTATGTGCCACATATTTGACAGTATTCCTGTGTGATCTTCTTTTTCATTTTTTTAAATTGTTGATAGACCTTTACTTAATTTATTTATTTATATGCAGTGCTGAGAATTGAACCCAGTGCCTCAGTATGCAAGGCAAGCACTCTACCACTGAGTCACATCCCCAGCCCCTCCTCCTGTCTTCTTTTCTCATCCATTTTTTTTAACTTCAGTTTAATTCACTCGTTTTAATTGAAGTTTCATTCTTCCCAAATAATAAAAATGTTGAGTGAGTGCTTTTGTATTTTCTTTCAGTCCTGGAATCAACATRTGAGACCAAGAAGTTATTTCTGAAGAAAGAAATTTATGAAATAGAATCAGCCCAGTGGGAGATAATGGGAAGATTGACAAGACATGACCTTCAGTGCTCTAGTCTCACAGATGATTGGGATTGTAATGGCCAATTTGAGAAACAACATGGCTCTCAGGACAGGCACTTCAGTGAACTGATAATCACCCATGAAGATGTGCCCACTTTTAGTCAACACCCATCCTTTACATTACAGCAACTTATTRATAATAAAGAAAAATACTGTGCAACAAAAGAATATAGAAAAAATGTTAGACATGACTCTGAATTTACTACACATCAAATAATTCATACCATTGAGAAACCCCATGAGTGTAAGGAGTGTGGCAAGGCCTTTAGACATCCCTCAAGACTTGCTCATCATCAGAAAATTCACACTGGCAAGAAGCCCTTTGAATGTAAAGAATGTGGGAAAACATTTATTTGTGGCTCAGACCTTACTCGACATGACAGGATTCACACTGGTGAGAAACCCTATGAATGTAAGGAATGTGGAAAGGCTTTTAGTAGTGGTTCCAACTTTACTCGACATCACAGAATTCACACTGGAGAGAAGCCTTATGAATGTAAAGAATGTGGGAAAGCCTTTAGCAGTAGTTCAAACTTTACCCAGCATCAGAGAATTCACACCGGAGAGAAACCTTATGAATGTAAGGAATGTGGCAATGCCTTTAGTCAGAGTTCACAACTTATTAAACATCAAAGAATCCACACAGGTGAGAAACCCTATGAATGTAAAGAATGTGAAAAAGCTTTTCGTTCTGGATCTGACCTTACTCGACATCAGAGAATTCATACTGGTGAGAAACCCTATGAATGTAAGATTTGTGGGAAAGCCTACTCGCAGAGTTCACAACTTATTAGTCATCACAGAATTCATGCTGGTGAGAAAACCTGTGAATACAAGGACTGTGGAAAGAACTTTAATTATAGTTCACAACTTATTCAGCATCAAAATCTGTACTGGTGATAAACCAGAATATATAAAATGGGTGGGAAGGTTTTGATTATGGATCAAAACTTTTTGACTATCAGAGAATTTATCTTTCTGATAAYCCTTCCATACATAAGAATGTAGAAACATTTATTTATTAACTACAGCTTATTCAGTCGAAGAAAAATCATGCTGGAGATACATAATATAAATAGAATATATTTTGGAAGCTTTTTAATAAAAATTCATTTTTCATTTGAATTCAGATTATTCAGTCTAGTAAATATTGAAAAAAAATAACACTTGACCTTTCTGATATTCTTATAYATCATAGAATTCATGCACACATATAATCCTGTGATTTTCATTTTCTTTTTTCCTTTATTTCTATAATTCTTACATTATTGATATTTTAATCTATCTTAAATTTATGACTATAAAGATGTTTTTACATCATGTTTTGTAAAATGCCTTTATTTTTAAAATATCTCTAATAACTGAGAGAAGTAACCTTTTTATTTTTGAAGATGCCTTTTTWAAAAWATGATATTGGGGATTAAACCCAGGGGYGCTCTACCACTAAACTACATCTCCATCCCCTTTTTATTTTTGTTTTGAGACAGGGTCTCACTAAATGGCTGAGGCTGACTTTGAACTTGARRCCCTTCTGCCTTAGCCTCCTGAGTTGTTGGAGATTTACAGGTATATACCACCATGCCTAAGTGGCTTGTTCCTTKTAGCTCTTATAAAATTAAGGATTTCTTTTAGTAAAAATATTCATAAAAGATGTTCCACTCAATAAATAGGGATTTTTAAACACTTTCCTGATGTTTCCTTGTGCTACTATGATCTCTYATTAAATCCCTACTAATGGACATTGTACTTTCCTCCATCTATTTTGCCACGATACATGCAAAAATGCATGTCCCTCATAGAAATTCTCTCTARGCATATCTGTACTATGTGTTTTATTTTAATGTAGAAATAAGTCATGAATATGTTTTGCTTATTAAAAATTTTATAAACATTACAAATAAGGAAAACATATCCACTGACTGCCATCCTTCTATTCATTCCCCTTTCCAAAAAAAATAGTCATTTTCAGTTTGTTACTTACCCTT